AAAGAAAGAAAAAAAGAAAAATGACCCATCAAAAAGAAAGTGGTAACAGCAAGGGAGCCAGAGTAGAACTGGGATGCAGATCTGACTGAGGAAAAGAAAGAGGATTGAGCAGGAAGAGCCTTAGGTTATATGCTAGCTCTGAGGAAATCTCAGCTAGGTAGAGATTGCCCTGTGAGGAGCCTAGGGTGAGCACTAACAGCCTTACTCTAGCACTCCTGCTCTGGTCAGTCTCTGGCAGGTAGCCTTGGAGAGTAGGCTCGGGATGAGTGTCGTGATAGATTCCAAAGGTGACAGCCAAAGGCTCCCTGCAGTCCACACACCATATTGTCCTTGGAGGAGATCTAAGCAGTATGTTCCCACAATTGCCCCAGGGTTATACCTGTGCCCTGGGATTGTTGTAAAGATCAGATGTATTATGTGTGTGCAGCAGCTAGTTCAGTGCCTCACACAGTAGAAGTGTTCATTGTATAGTACCTGTTACTGTGGTTCAGATGAGGAAACTGAGGTTGGAGAAGTCAAGTGCCTTATCTAGAATCACACTGAGGATTAGGTGTCCTGTTGTTTTACGGGATTCATTTGTGATTTTTTTCTGTAGCTTTGTGCATGCACTGTGTTCCTGCCAGTTGATTAGCTCAGGCTATTCCCTGCCCTGCAAGGAGGGAGATACCTACTGACTCAGATTTATCTCACCAGTGTCAGTTCTGTAGAGATGGATGGTGTGAGCTTTCTGGAGGTCTGTGTTATCTGTTCTGCAGAAGAGCCCGGGGAGAGGGAGGTGTAACTGGCTTTGTGGTATAAAAGTCTGCCATGTAGTACTCTTTGCCTTTGTAAAGTTCCACTTTCATAAATACAGTCCTCTGGCTTCAGGCATCCTCCCCAGCCTTTTTAAAGGTAATTTAATTTAGTTTAATTTATTCTGAGGCAGGATCTTATTAAGTTGCCCAAACTAGGGTCATACTTAGAATCCTCCTGCCTCAGCTTCCTGGGATCCTAAGGGTTATAGGATGTGTTTATTCAATAACTTAATTTATTTGAATATTACTTTATGGGCCTCGAGGCCTCAGATGTCCCATCTATAAGGTGAATGTGTCTGGCCAAGAAACTGTGGTAATCTCAGAACCAGAGCATATGTAATGCAAAGTGCAGACCTTGGCATTAGAGAGACCCAGAGTTAGGTTATAGTGTGCCACCTAATGTTATTTGGGGTGAACTTAATACTTCCCTCACCTCTCTCTCCTCTAAATCAGGGATAAAAATAACACCTTGACTGTAACTCATAGTATAAAGGAAATGATTAGATGTGTTCCAAATGCTGGACCAGTCACTTGCCTCCCTCCCTGTATTAGTTTGCTAGGGCTGTCGTATCAAAGTTCTATTGACTGGGTGGCATCAGCAATGAAAATCTTTTCTCACATTTCTAAAGGCTGGGATTTAATTCATTGTGTTGGTAGGGTATGTTCCTTCTGAGGACAATGAGGGTGGGATGTGTTCCAGCCTCTGCAGCTATAGAAGATATATTCTTTTTGTGTCTTCTTCACATGTCTGTAGCATCTGTCTTTCCTCTAATATCTCTGTCCAAATCTCTTATACATACACCAGTCATATTGTATAATGGCCTCATTTTTAACTTACTTGTAAAGATTCCCATAAATGTGCTCACATTATGAGGTGCTGGATGTTGGGATGTCAACATGTGAGTTTTTGCAAGGACCAACCTCAGTCAAGACAACAAGGCATTGTTGAATCTACCAAAACCTAAGCACATTGGCTAAAACCCATCAGACTCTGCAGAGCTGAACAGGCCCCAGGTGAACACTTGAGGTCATCATTCTCAGGTACTCTGAGGCCCATGGCTCCTTAGTGCCCCCTGCTGGCTATCTTTCGTTGGCTGTCACTCCCCTTTGGAAATGAGGGTATCCTCCTGACACTTTCCCTACTTATTCTATACCAGATAGCACCAGGAGCTTAGTGTTTGACATATGATATTGGGGCTTTTGGTGATGGGTGGTGGTGGTGGTTGGTTGGTTGGTTGGTTGATTGATTGGTTGCTTTGCTTTTTTTTTTGTTTGCTTGTTTGTTGGTTTGGTTTGGTTTGATTTGGTTTTGAGACAGTCTCTTAACTTGCCCTGGCTGCCCTAAAGTTGTGATCCTCCTTCCTCAGGCTCTAATGTTTATAAGTATGCTTCGGTAAACTGGCTTGATACTGGGTTTAAGTAAGATTTTCTATTATAAAAAGAGGTTAGCACATTATAAAAATTTGAAAAACAACCACTGTTGGCATGGACTTTCATAACATGTATTTTGGGATTTGATGCTAATTTTATAAATACTTTGAAAAGAGGTTAAAGATAGCTTACAGAAATTGTGTGGTAGGGAGCCAGGGAGATGACTCAGTAGAATAAGCACTTGCCTGGCAAGCGCAAGGGCCTGAGTTCAATCCCTGGTTCTGAAAAAAAAAACAAAAAACAAACTTTGGCCGGGGAGATAGCTCAGTAGAAGGAGCACTTGCCTAGAAATTGTGTGGTAGGATTTTTAGGGGTTGGGAGGCAGTGCTGGAAATCAAACCCAGAGCCTTGTATATGCTAAGTGCTCCACCACTGAGCTACATGGTGATTATATAATAAGCTGGGCTAGAAAGTAAAATGAAATCAGGCAGTCAGTAACCAGAAATGAAACCTAAATCCCTCTACATTTAGTAAAGGTACACTTAGGTAAGGCCAGGCAAAGGAAAATCAGGATTCTGAAATATGTAGAATTTATAAGATTAAGTACAGTAGCGGTTGGCCAGTATTTCCCTGGCATTCAGTTATGAAAGATTCTTAAGAATTCAGTGACATCTCATGTAAAATATACCTTCTTTTAGGGACCAGGGGTGTGTGTGGGGGGGTCCTGTCTGTTCATATGTATTTATGTATGTATTTATTGTTCCTGGGAATTAAACTCAGAGCCTTAAACATGCTAGGCAAATGCTCTTAACACTGAGCTACTTCCCCACCTCTTTCTTTTTAATTTTTATTTATTTATTATTGAGAAATAAATATGAATGAGACAGTTTCAAAGCTGAATAATAGGACAGTTTCGATAATCAATACGTTGTACATTATCTTCTTAGTGGTTATCCATAGTACAAGAAGCAGACAGGATATCTTGTCCAAACACTATTAGTACACCTATTTCTTCTTATTGAATAAAGCGAAAGTAGCTGTATATTTATACAAACTATTTTGTATATATAAATACAAAATGATCTTTCCTTTGTATCCCCTTTTTTTTTTGTTTAGTCCTGTCAGAGGTGAATATTCTACTGGCATCTAAATACTATAGGTGTTTGAATTCAGTTAAACACTGTATAGCAGTCTATAGTATTAGTGGGTTATCCTCAGAAGTTATTGACTTGAGCCTTTTACAGCTCATCGTATTAATATGGCTTTACTTTATATACCTTGTTTTTATACTTTTCTGCTGGATGGTTAAGACCAAGATAAAGCAAGACCTATATAGCAAGAAATGTAACTTTTGTATCTGGTAAGGTCAGTCCAGTACCCTCAGGATTTATCCCGTAGCCCTGTACTGCACTTTGTAGATCCTTTGTCAGTATC